TTTCTCTTCTCTTCCATTCTTTCACCCCAATGCTTTTATTCAATTAAAAAAAATCAATTATACCACCTTCATGATAATTTGCCAAACAGTAATGATAATAATAACTTTTATATAATTCTTTCAAATTTGCAAAATGTTTTGAAAAACATAAAAAGAAGAATAACAGGATCACAACTTGTCCTGGCACAGTTTTTGTCTAAATTCTGTTGAACATGAAGATGAAAAGACAAATAGTAAGTTCCATTTATATAGTGCTATCTATGGTTACAAAACATTTTTTATTTCATTTCAATAAACATTTATAAAGTGAGAGTTTTCAAGTTCTTTAGCTAATCTACATTGATCACATTTAATCCTTTCATTTGGAACATCCCTCTGCCTTTAGATTACATGACATCTAAACAATCTCAGACAGGTGAGAATCCATGTTTTTTTTTTTTTAGTCTCCTGAGAAGGCATTTGAACAGTACATGAGGAATATTTATCATGTCACATTAAACAGGCTTCCCACTCTCAAAGGAATATACAAAATGACCCAAATTCTGCTGTGCTGTTGATGGTATGTTTTACAATGACTATTAGGATTTTCCCTGAAGCTCTCTCCATGTAAATGCAGCTTTATAGTACTGAGCTGATTTGTTGTGGCTAAGAGCAAAATTATCTTCTAGAGGGAGTTAATGGACTAATACAATTATTTCAAAGCTCCATTTCATTTGAAAAGGGGAAAGAACACTTCTATTTGACAGCATAATAGTGAGAATCATATCATCATCAGTGTTGGTTGTAATTTCTATAAAAATTAGGATTTTCAGCTTACTTAATTGAAAAATATGGGAATTACAACAAATTAAGTATAGTCATATAGGTCAGGAGGCTGGTAGGCTTTTTTTTTTTTTAAAGGAGGGCTCTCAAATGCTGCTATTATTTCTGTGCTCTATGGTCTGGTTCTCAGCTTTGAGGAATCTGATTTTATCAGCTCGTCCTAGGGGGAATAAGGGGTGAGGAAGCTGGGGTCTTTTGTTTTCACCTCACCTCCATTTATTAATGGGCCCTTCACCTATCCCTTATCTAGTGAGCTATCATTAATGACTATAATTGCTTCTCTAAAGTCATGGCTCAGGGTTCTTGGAGGCTAGAAAAGAGGAATGTAAGCTCTGTCACACACTGCCAAGCTAGAAAGGCTTTGAATATGGTCACAGTCATGGATTGTATATATATTATCTGAGTTCCAGTCTAATGAATTTAAACGAGGTTCACCGCCAACTGGGCTTCAGGCTGGTGATTTTTTTTTTAACTCTTACAAATTTTTTTTTCTTAAAAAGTTAAACATAAAGAATGTACAAATGAGTGATTTTATTAATCAAATAAAAAAAAGTCAAACTCTTGGGAATGGAAAGAGGGAAAGGAGACACATGAAATCTCAGACTAGTGCTTTATTACTTATATTCATTCCAAAACTTCTAACATGATAACATAACTTCCTTAGATTATCACCATTCCAGTACTGTTCTTTTGCGCACCAGGTGCCGTCTCCATACACTCCTCAGTCACAAGATACATATATGGATGAATTCTCCTCCCTTCCTCTCCCCACATTCTTTGGACATGCCTCTCTCCAAACATTTTTTATTTCAGGTGGTTTTGCTTTGCTCATTCTATTTCATTTGTGGCCCTTTATCCTTTCCCTGTGCTCTGGTGAATTTTTTGAGCCCTGGTAACTGCTAATTTCCAAGAGAATGCATGTTAAGTTAGGGAAGGGTGGTGTGTGATGTATGTAGGTAAAGAGGGTGCCCACACCAAAGAAATAATGTAATCCATTGAAGAATTTGATTGAGTTCATTGGAGAGATGATTTTTGAAGAAGATAATTTGACAAACGAGTTTGGCAAAATAGAAAGAACGTGGGACATGGAGTCAAAAGACTTGGATTTGAGTTTTCTACTTATTAACTATGGAACTCTAGACAAATCATAATCTCTCAACATAAGTTTCTTCATGTGCAAATTAAGGATATCATACTTCAGTGCCTACCTTGCATAATTGTTGCAAACATCAAATGAGATGTATGTGGAAGTGTGTTGTAACTACAAATTGTCATATAAATGTAAGCTAAAAACCTTATCCATCATAGGGATATATTTGCTAGGCTGACTGGAATACTTGTGTCAATGGGTGAAGCTTACTTTTTCTTTCAAACATGGCTGAAGACACACTGACAGTTTTTCCACTTTCCAACCCTTCTTCAGTCATTTCTGACTCTTTATGACACCATTTGGAGCCATGGCAAAGATATTGGAGTGGTTTTGTCATTTCCTTCTCCAAATCATTTTACAGATGAGGAAACTGAGGCAAATAGGGGTAAGTGACTTGCTCAGGGTCACACAGCTAGTAAGTATCTGAGGCTGGGTTCAACAAATTTCAAAAAGTTCAGAGTAAGAAGAGGTAGAAGCCTATGGACTAATTTCTAAAGGGGAAGTCACTCTAAGGGGAATGGGATATTTGTAAGAATAGATTTCTGAAGACACAAAGGAAAACAATTCCTATCAGAGGAGAAGGCAAAGTCAAAGGTGACTAATGGGGATGCATAGTGAACTCATCAACAAGCTTAGGTTTTTAAAAGATATCTCCAAAAGATGGAAGCAAGAGCAGGTAATAGAAGATGAATAGAACAGCATTTAATTATCAATAATCTGTATGTGTGAATTGGTGGATTGGGGTTCCCTTCCACAGGTTCCTGGATCCAGAGGGTTGGTTGTGTCTTTTTGTGTTTTAGCAGAGCAGGGTTTTCTGGTCTAGGACCTGTTTGTCATGCTTGCCTGTGCACAGCTTCAGAATCTACTGAGAAGTGTCATCCTGACATCTTCCCCCTAATTTCCTTAAAGGATAGAATCCTTCCTTCAAACAAGGAAGATCACTCCTGACAGTTCTTTTGAATGTCTTCAATGATAGCAAATTTTCATCTTTTTATGATGAATTTGATTTTTGGAAATAAGATCACTTTCCTTATGAGGATTAAAGACTAACACTGTTTTAAACAATTAAGGCATCTGTGGGACAAATGTCAAGACACTTGAGATGTCTACTTTGTATGACAATGCTCATTAGGATAACATCGGGCATATTTGGCAAGGAAAAAATTTTCATTACCTGACAATCACATATCATAGAGAACACCATGAATTGTAGAGCTGGAAGGGCTTGTAGAGAATACTTAGCCCGAGTCTTCATTTTATAAATGAGGAAAGTGGGGATCAGAAAGATAAAGTGGTAGGAAGTGGTAAGATTAGAACTAGAAAATGGGTCCCCTTACTCTCAATCTACACCTTAGTCCACTATGCCACAATTTCCCTACACACACACACACACACACACACACACACACACACACGCACACACAGAGTATGTGACAAAAAATGGAATAGCACCTGCCCTTAAAAAGCTTACATTCTGCTGAAGAATAAAACTGTCGATAAGCATACGACAAGATAAATTAAGGAGGGACAAACCATTAACAATTTGGGAGAGGAGTGGCACTAGGGTGGTTTAACAGAGAAGATATGTGTGTATATATCTATATCTGTATCTGTATCTGTATCTATATCTAATCTATATCTATATCTACATCTATGTCTATATCTATATCCACACATATATGTATATGTATGTATATGTGTGTATATGTGCATTATTCCTCTTGAAAAACAAAGGACAAACAACACACATACACACATGTATACATATATGGAACCAGTCAATATCATCTGTAAGATTTATTCTTAACTGTCTCTGGTTGCATAGAACTGAAACTGCTTGTGACTATCATAGTAAGGAGAAAGGGAAGCTAAATTAGTTGACCGTTATAAACACATAAAGTATCCAGCACAATCTATGAGATGTTCTTCAGGTCCACCACCATGATTTCTGGAGCTGCTGTGTTCCCAAAGGTGATTTTGCCCTACTACCCAACAACACTCTCTTTCACCCAGATGGATGGAAGGGAACAATGGATTATTCATTGTTTTGTTTCCTTCCTTAGATGCATGTATCTAGCTTTCATTTTGATGGCAATGAGAAAGAAAGAAGACTTGGCAAGGAAGACATAGCTGTCTTTGTGTAGCTAATGGGCCATCACAGAGAAATTACAAGAAGGCAAATTTAGGTTTAGGCAAAAACTTTCTACCAAAAGGTGGAATGAGATGCCTTGGGAGGTAGTGGGATCCCCATCAGTGGAGGTCTTTAAGCAAAAGTTGGATGATCATTTGTTAAAGTATGTGAGGTCTCTTCCAACTTGGAGAGTCTATGATTTATATAGGAAAAAAAGAGGAAGGGTTTTAGGAATCTAGTCTATAGTTTGAAAAGAAGTGGTAGGACAGGAAGAATGGCTTGAGATATTGGAAGATGTACAAGAAACTTGGTTTTTGCAATTATCAATTATACCCAATCAACCAACCAATCAACTACTCAATCAACAACCCAATCACCCTCATCACTTAAAGTATGTCTTTAGGTAGTCAGTCTGATACAAACAAACAACCTTCCATGTGATTAATTATGTTAAATACACTAACAATAGCTTGAAGTTATTTATGGCATTTTAAGATTTGCAAAGTGCTTTACAAATATTCTCTCCGATCTTCACAGCAATCCTGTGAGGTAGGTTTTATTAATACTTCCATTTTACAGATGAGGAAACTGAGGCTGAGGGAGATGAAATGACTCACCTAAGGTCATGAAGCTAGTGTCTGAGGTTGGATTTAAACTCAAGTCTTGCTGATTTTAAATTTAGTGCTACTTAGCTAATTCTATAACATGCTGAGAACAAATGCAAAGAAGTGTCAGCCTTTGGTTTCTCAACAGTTTTGGCTAGTACTTAATACTTTTTTAAATGGATTTGTCCAGCATTCAAGCAATAAACAACAATGTTAACTATGTGATGAGCCAAATTAAAAATAAAACAGCTAGCAATTATCTCATGCTAAGTGTATCTGCTTTCTGTTTCAGGAAATGATCCATGTCCCATTTTTGTCTGGGGACTTTTAGCCTTCTTGGGTTTGGCTCTGATCATGTCCTTAATCTTCAATGTTTCTTACTGGATGGAAAAGCAGCGACAAGGTAAGACAGACATGATGGAATCAAAAGAATTTTAAAATGACCATAACTATTAGGTATTTTAATTTAATTCAACCAACATATGTTTAATGCATGCTATGTCAAGACCGTATATGAGATACTTGGGTTAGAATGACGAAAATGAAATAGCCCTTATTTTTAAGAGACTATCTGAGGGATTCAATGTTATGATTTGAAGAGGGAAAGTCTGTTAGCAACAGGGGGGTGGGGAGGATGGAGGGTTTAAGAGGGGTATTATTAGAACTGAGCCTAGAAGAAAGATAAGAGTTTTAAAAGCCAAAGATGAGGAGGAGTGCATTAGGGGCACGTCTGTAATGCCTGTGCAAATGCATGGAAGTAGGAAATGTTTCAAATTTGGAGAACAGATAATAATCCAATTTGACTAGAATGTAGAGCACATGAACAGGAGTCATATGAAATAAGGCTAGGCTAGAAAAGGCAAGCTGGAGTCAGATTGTGGCAGCCCTTAAATATCAGATGAATGAGTTTGTATTTCATCCTGTAGGCAGTATGGGAGCCATAAAGGTTTTTGAAAGGGAAAGTAGCAGGATCAGACCCATGCCTGAGAAAGATTGTTTTGGCAGCTCTGTGAAGTATGCATTGGAGAAGGAAGAATTTCGAGGGAGAGAAATAAATTAGGGGACTATTGCAATAGTCTAGGCAAGTGATGGTAAAAGGTTGAACTAGGATAGCAGTATGAATTAGTTATTAGAAGGAGAGGAAAGTCAGAAATGATAGGGCTTGGCACCTGATTGGATCTGGGGTGCGGTGAGGAAAAGTTTTGAACCTGGGTAACTGAGATGGTGGTCACTTTCATCTCTAGAAACCCTATCAATATGCAAAGAAATGGGTTTACTTTGTTTCCTTTTTTTTTTCAGCCAAAGACAAGGTTTATTAGAACATTCATCATATTGGGCAGACTCTTAAGGAGCCTGAACATTGGTAAGCTATTAGCTAGATTATAGGAATCCCAGCAGTGGCTAGATTTTAAGAATCTCAGCATCTTAATGGGGACAAGATGGATCTTATAAACAGAAAGACTATGGGAGGGATCTAGGAGTGGCCCAGTAGTCTATTAGGTAATAGAATTCCAGGGACCTGGACCACATGGCTAAGGGAGAATGGAGAAATGTCCTGGGGCCATAGGGAGGTCCACAATGAAAGGCCAGTTGATAGGATTATAGCCTCAGGGGAAGGCCAGAGATTTGGCCATGTGGGAAAGTCCAGGGTTTTTCCTTTCTGGGGCCCAGATCCCAACCCCATCATTCCCCTCTCAAACAAATGGGACCCAAATTCTTCTGGAGTAAGGGGCGAAGGTCTTGGTTTCTGAAACTGCTTCCTGCAGGCACAGGGCGTAGAGCTGTCCCTGCCTCAAGGGGGTCCTAAAGAGGAGGTTGACTGGAACCGAGCTCAGGCTGCATCCAGGGAATGATGGGGGGACATTGGCTGGTGCACACTGTTTGCTACCAGCTGTAGGTGAATGGCCCATAGTCTGGAAGACACAAATCTGACAGAAAAAACTGCAGGGCCCAGATATAAAGCAGGGACTAGATTTAGGGCAAACTTTGAGAGGATAAAACATCCTTAGCTCTGTTTGGATTCAGATAATTCAGTTTTCCAACCATGCAGTATCAAATCCACCTCATAGCCAGACTCAGGAATAGCCAGGTGGGTAACATTCCCTTTCAAAGGAACATAATGGGGAAACTGAGCCAGGAGGATCCCATCTTAGACTGAGGCTAAAATTGGCCTCTCAGCTTTTCCCAATGCTGACTTCCCACCAATATCACCTTCTCTGAGTAGCTTGTGGCATTTCTCTCAGATGGTAGCTTATTGATTATTGATTATTGATGGATTATGATCCATCAGACGACTCAAAATAAAATCCTATGAGCTTTTACCTCAAAAAGCAAGTTTTACTAATCACAGTTTAGGAAAAACTTTTCCAGGATTTACATCTCAAACTTAAATTTGTCCTGGTGTAAAAAGCCAATCATTAGAATATCTTACACTTGCAAATTCTCAGCAAGCCATATATAACCCAAACAAACTTTTTGGCTAGTTTACACATTAAAATAATAAACAACAATAGCTAAATTATTTTAGTGGTAACCAAATTATGAAAAGTTGCTTGACATAACTGATACAATCAGGTGACTTCAGTTTTGTTAAATGCACTTCCAAATTACTTTACACAGAGAATCAACACCTCATCATTAACAGTTAAAACAACAAATTTAAAAGAGCTAGCTTACCCAAGTTCAGAGGCCAGCTTCTTTACCTTGAGCAGGATGGGCTAAACCTGGGTGATGCTTCCAGGCAAAGGTTGCCCTAGGGCCCAAGGCCATTGCCAGGGGGACCCACACGGTAGCTGCTGCCCCTCCCCCCTCCTTCCTTTCCCAGGTGGGGGAGGGTGAAATCAAAGGTGTTTCAAAATTCCCTAATGATCAATCACAAAACCTCCAGAATCTGCCAAGATATTTTTAGCTGTTCTAACTTTCCTGGTAACCTCCATGAAGGAGGATTCAGAGGTGCAGAGGGAAGGCAGTAAGTAAGCCTCAGGGAACCAAAAAGCAACTGCAGTTTTTCCCAATTCCTTAGCATTGAGGGAATTAACAGATACACTTCTCGATAGGGCATCCGTCCTTGTCCTCTATGCTGTGGAAGGTGTACCTAGGTCCATGGCCTTGAACCGACCCAGTGGACTGAGAGCCTGAGAGCATCAGGCCGAGTGCGAGACAGCTTCGTAACTGTCTGCCCGAAAAGCACCTCCGAGCCTTGGTGTTTGGAGAGCGACCCCAACTGCAGAGCAAGAAAGGGAGGGAGAGGAGGCTTACATACCCTTCCAGTCTTGGCTGGAGAAGAACTTGGGGTTAGGCAGTTTCTCTGTACAGGCCACCAAAATGATGCGGTACAGGGGTTCAGGGGTGCTGGGACCCCAAAATCACAACACGCGGGTCCTGCCCAAAAGAATTAGACCCAAGCCTTCTTTCAGTCAAAGACAAGGTTTATTAGAACATCCATCATATTGGGCATACTCTTAAGGAGCCTGAACATTAGTAAACTATTGGCTAGATTATAAGAATCCCAGCCGTGGCTAGATTTTAAGAATCTCAGCCACTTTATTTCCTTCTAAGGAATATAATTTCCTTCTGTCTTAATACAAGTTTAGAATTTAAAAGAAAATCTTCTTAAATTTAAAATCTTGCCTAATCAGCTGGACAGAGACTGTGGTTTTTGGTCTTACACTTGGGTAATATGCAGAAAAAAACATGGACCCAGGAGATTCAATGTCAGAGTAGCCCTAGTCCAAAGGCTAACCTGGAAGATTTCTTAGTTCTAGAATGGCCATGGATAGTCTGATACTCTGCTTATAGAGAAGATTAAGAAGCCACATGACACTTTAAGTGTCCATTTAATCTTACTCAGGAATGGAAGACAGTGAAACGTTCAACTTTTGTTGGTTTCGTCAAGTACCAACCTGATTTTCTGTGGTTTTCTAGACTAGGACCAAATTTAAAACTGGATTAAATCACCTAGAATTGCTGTAGAACAGATAGCACTTCTCTGTAACTCACCCAGGATCTAGGAGTATAGAAAAGAGGCATTAATGGCCATTGGCTGCCTGTGTGATGCACACAGTATGGGTATCACTTGGCAGGATATGCTGTTATTAAAATCCTGACCTGTTCTGACTTTGGATCCTAGAACATTATATTATAAAACCTGGCAACCAGTGGCAGGGACTGTAATTAGTTGGTAAGGAATAGAAGAGAGAAGGAAGAAAAATTCCATCCTCTTAGTGGAAATATATTTTCTTGCTAATGCATACAAGTGGCCCTAGGTTTACTTAATATGTATCACACACATATATCTCTGGAGTTTTTAACCTGGGATTCATAAACTTGTTTTTTAAAGTATCTTGCTAATTCTATTTCAATATAATTGGTTTTCTTTGTTATACTATTTTATTTTTTAGGTATTTATACATTTATGTACTTTATTTTATACATTTGAAAACATATTGAGAAGTGGTCCAAAGGTTTCACTAAACTATCAAAGGGGTCCATGTCACAAAAAAAGGTTAAAAACCCCTACTCTATGTATTCCTTTAAGGAGAGTGTAGACCAGAAGTTTACAGGATGTTTACTAAATAAAAAACAATTTCCTTATTTTGTTGCCTGGCATGCATTTGGTTCTATTTGGGGAATTTCCATTCTGTTCTACTTATCCATTTGCTTTAACTCAGTAACAGACAGTTTTAACTAGAACTGTTTTAAAATGTTATAGGACAAGTCCAACTTCATGTATTTCCTCACTCCCATCACATAAAGCCTTGATAGTTTTTCCTATATGTTTTTAGATCAACTCCATTGTGTTTTTTCTAGTTCTATAAATAAACCCGATGATTTTAACATTGCCTAATAAGTTAATGTTTGTAACATTATCATTTTTACTATATTGATCTGACCTATGCGTGAACATTGAATTTTCCTGTAATTATGTATGCTGTTATTTTTCCATCAATGCAATTTTATAATATCTTCGTATGGATCACACCTAATCTTCAGATATTTTATGCTTTTTGTTGTTAAAATGAGGCTTTAAAATATTTTATTGGTCTTTGATGCGGTACGCATTAGGTTTAAAATGTTCTTTTAAAAAAAGAGTATTGCTTTTAGTATTTTTTTTTTATCTTAGCAGAAGGGATTCTTAGTACTATGTAGAAGACACCAGATGGTAACTTTATGGATTGTAGTTCAAGTTCCATTTATTTTCTTTGACGCATTTAGCTGTTGAAAAAATTGCTTTGTTCAAATAACTAATTGAAATCATGACTAGGAGAGCCAAATTCAGGAATTTATTAGATAGTATTGTTCCTTTCACAAAAAAATCTAGCCGAATTTCCTTTTTCAGTCTGAGAACTTGTAAGAGACAACTTTCTGGTCAGCTAGGCAGTGCAGTGAATAGAGTGCTAGGAC